AGAATGACTTCCAAGGGTGCTTCAGATAATGCATCACACATGCCTTGCCAGTCTGCCTTTCCCCATTCCATTGCCAGATTGTACGGGATAAAGTTTCTTCTTGCGCATCTTTTAGGCTCTTACTTAATCCTGTGAAGTAATCATAGGAGCCAACTGTGCCCAGGGAAGAACAACTGACGTCTAATTCAGCCAGATCAGTAATCACAGGGTCATGGGATGCGCCTGATATGTGGATTGGGAAATGAACATGAAATGTGAGCCCGAATGTAGTGAGGAGCTCTTCAAATGATCTTTCAATCAAGTATTGGTTCAGTTCCCCTAGCATTATAACATTTTTGCAAGAGTATGCATGGAGAATATTATCCAGCTTGGTTTGAAGAGAAGTAAGCTTTACCACTAGGGTCTGCAGCATACACAGAGAAGGACAGCATCACGTGTGTCTGTCCAGATTTTGAAAAAAAAAAAGTTCGAGATGATCTGCTACGTCAATCTCAAGTAGTTGTATATGGAGGGTTCTTCGAAAGCAGACAGCAATGCCTTCAAAAGTTCCATGTATTCTGTCACGTCTGGGCAACTTTGAGTAACCATAATCCTCCCAAAATTCTGTGGAGTTCAAGAAAGTTTCCCCAGCATCAATGATGTCAGGTTGATGTGGAATTATGTGGCAATGTGTAAGGTCTCCCAAGTTCGTTTGGAAGCCTCTAATATTAGCAGAGAGAATGCGCAGGTGGGCCATTCCTCTGTGGTTGCAGGGACCTTGCAGAGAGCTAGTGGTTTGTTGGTTGAGTGGCTGAATGGCTAATATTGGCCAACTGTTGGCTTGCAAGGAAAGATGTGAATTGTGTGGAGTGTTGGGTGTGAAGTGCTTCTATATTGCTTGCACCAAGATAGCATTACTTTGAAGCTGCCCTGCAGGAATGCATTGGAATAGGCGTTCTTGTCTTTCTTGTCTTTTCATTCGACACTCAGATGTTTGATGTCCTCTACGATGACAGTATTTACGTTCTTTAATCCTACAGCAGTTGTTTTGGGAGTGATCCCTGATTTTACAATACTTGCAATAAAGAGTCTACCTGTTAGATCTCTGCTGTCGATTATGAGTGATCGTCTGGGGGTTACAGGTCCTCTGTTTACGTTGTGTGTGGACCTATGCTTGGTTTGACCGGGCCTGATCTTTCTGCATCTGTTGAGTTGATGTAGACGGCTGGCTGGTATTTACTCCACTGTTTTCTTCAGAGATTGGTTGCTCAGTGTAGAGGACTACCGCTTCGATACCGTGGGTAAACCGCAGGTTTTGGGTGTCAGAGCAATCGAACACATGGTTGTTGCCAAGACATGTGCTGTGACAGATGTTGAGACACACTGAATCTGAGCACTTGACTGACGGATTACTGATGGTCGATTTGCTACAGACACAGCACCACTCTCGTGGTACGTATTCATACAACTCTTAAGGACGAGCAATACGTGTCGTCTCGATTCTGACATAATGTCACTTCAAACTTAGTCACACTCTCCCACACAGAATGCGTAAACACAGCTAAATGGATTGACCTTAAAAGTGTATGTGCTTAAAATGCTGATTAAGATTGCATATACTTAAAAAAATATAATGAAAAGAAATTTATATATATATATATATATATATATATATATATATATATATATATATATATATATATAATATTTTACTTTAAAAGGAAAATGCAAAACACACAAACTTAAAAGGTAAATAATACGTTAAAAAATAAATGATACGTTAAAAGTGTTTGTCACAGTCACAGTTACACCCAACTCAAACTATCACACAATCTTTTGCTTATTACATAAACATAGATGCGTGGCCATTTATTTGTGAATCAGTAGACTGACTCTCTCTCTCTCTCTCTCTCAAACACACACGCAAACATATACATACAAATACAAACACACACATACACACACACACACACACACACACACACGCGCAAGCACGCACGCACATGTGTATGTATATATATGTGTGTGTGTGTGTGTACGTGTGTGTTCATACACGTATCTGTATATTTACACACACACACACATATATATACATAACATCACATTCAATGCGGTGTTTGATGAAATACTTGTTGCCATGTTGACATCAAGTAGTTGACTGGATCTGAGGTGGCTGGCCAATGATCTTTCCCCAGGGGAGTAGCTGTTTAGGCAATCAGTGTTGGATGTTCTCAGATGAACTCTCTATACACACACACACACACACACACACACACACACACATACACACACACACACACATGTGGGCGCTTTGTGTGTGTTCTTGCGCGTAATTGCATAATTAGGGTAAATGAAACCTAGTAGGTATGATGGCGAATAGAGAACCACTAACAATGATTACTTAAACAACAACTATTCCCCTAGGTAAGGATATATATATATAATATGTACATTGTATATATATTATATGTATGATATATATATGTATATAATAATGATATATATAATGATATATAATATATATATATATATATATATATATATATATATATATATATATATATATATATATATATATATACACATTACGATGCACACACATCACATGCACATCACATAATCTACCTGCGGATTTGATAAAGTCTATCAGCCTTCTATATAATATATATTATATATATTTATGCTGTATATATTATATATATATTTATGCTGTATATATTATATATATATTTATGCTGTATATATTATATATATATTTATGCTGTATATATTATATATGTATATTAAATTGTATAAATATATATGTTTAATTTGTGGATGTAGACTCCTGTATATGAATATGCATAAAGTTGAATAACCTCTTCCCCTTCGAAGGGAAAGATTCTGAATTTTCTTCCGGCAGAGGCTCCTCCAATTCTTGTATATCTTTACCAGGATTTTGCTTAACTCTTTTAACTTATGCTGTTTTTACTGAGTCTTTCTTCATCTTTGCACCAATCGAGCTTAAACTGTGGGTCTAGAATTGTTGTCAGTATATAAACTCTTCTCCTCATTTTACATCAAACGTTTCTCGACAGAATTCTTAAGTGGAGTTATACATGGATTACATATGGTTTAGATGAAATTTAAGGCCCCTAATGCAAGGTCTGACCAGATTTGCAGAAACGGTGGTTTGCTTCTGTGCATAATCTGTGGCCTTCTCAAATGGTTCAAAGATTTATAGCATATCTTTAAGTAGATTACGATCATACACACTTAATGTTGTTACACCATCTATGATGCTTAATTCTTGTTCAGAAATACTTACTTTCGCTTGGGAACTCCATCGTGTAGCACAAACAGAATCCATTTTTTCTCAGCTTTCAAAACGTCAGCGACAGTGGTAGATTTGTATGCAATAGACACTAGCTTTGAGGCTCTACTGAAAGCCAAGTTTAATTGTCCTGTTTCTCGTAAACCATCCTTAAATAAAAGTTACATAATTTTTCTCGTCATAATTTTTCTGCTGTCAGCATGCAGGTCTACTTCTAATTCGCCTTCAAAATCAGAACAGGAGCCCATATCATTTTCAAAAATATTTGAGAAGCCAGGAAGAGAAAATGCTGATATCTTTTTCGCAGGATTCTCTGTTATGATGTTCGTGATGTTTGAACGTCAAAGATTTGTACAGTTGCTTCATACTCTTCCATAATGTTGTGTGCTGTGTGTCGGCCACGGAAACGTTTGTATACCAGAACGGATGTTTTCAGTGCACTTATCTTGCAGTAGTTTCTTCATCAGATGCTTTCGAGTCGGTATTTGGTGCCGAGGATCGGCAGACAGCACCAGATCATGGAAGTAATAGCTCTCTTTGTCTAACTTCGTGGGGCGAATATTTCTTAGGATGTTTGATGAATCCTTCCAGAGTTGATTGGCTGCAGTTGCTGGTCTCCCCATGACTGTGACTTATGCAGGATAGTGTTCACCTGGCTAAAGATAAGGAGGGCACGGGGGAACATGCCCTTGACGTCAGGTTATTCAGGGCACGGTATAGTGTTTTGCCATTCATATATATGTGTGTGTGTATATATATATATATATATATATATATATATATATATATATATATATATATATATATACAGACACAAACATACACACACACACACACACACACACACACACAC